TGCCCAAGCACATTCATTTAATCAACAAATTCAATCGGAATGTTCAATTTTACATGGACTTGATCATCCATGTATTATTCGTGTTTATGATGTTTATGATACACCTAATGCTGTTTATATTGTACTTGAATTAGTTGAAGGTGGTGAGTTATTTGATCGTGTTGTTGCAAATGGTCAATTTGATGAAATAACAAGTAAATTTCTTTTTCGACAAATGTGTATTGGTGTTCAATATTTACATGATCGTTCTATAACACATCGAGATTTAAAACCAGAAAATGTTCTTTTAACATTACCAGATACAAATGAAACATTAGTTAAAATAACTGATTTTGGTCTATCAAGATTTATTAATGAAACAACACTAATGAAAACATTTTGTGGTACACCAAATTATTTAGGTAAGAAATATAAAATTAAACATATTTGTTTAATAATCGTTCGTTTCTTTTTTAGCTCCAGAAGTTTTATCAACACGTGGTGAATCGAGTTATACAAATAAAGTTGATGTTTGGAGTTTAGGTGTTATTTTATATATATGTTTAGTTGGTTATCCACCATTTAGTGAATCAACTAGTGGAACTCCGCTAAATGATCAAATTGTTCAAGGTCTTTATACATTTCCTGATGAATTTTGGTCAGATATATCTGAAACAGCGAAAGATCTTATTCGTAAAATGATGTGTACTGATCCTGCCAAGCGCTTAACTATCGCTGATGTACTTAAACATCCATGGTTAGCTGATGATCATGAAAATACAGCACGAGTTAATGAAATAATGTATCCACCAACAATGAAAACTGCTAAACGCTCTGCATGTGATGATAATGAAGATGATAATGATAATAATCCAGTGACAGAAACCAAAACGACATCAACAGATGGAACACCACCTGATACTAATCATACAAATGGAAAACGTAAACGTGTTAAACATTAATTCAATCCGGTTTTGAAATCTATATTTTTTTGTTATCTAATTTTACACGTTGTTTTAATGTTTAGATTTATTTTTGTATTTCTTATTGTTGGAATATATTCTATACGCTTTATGTTCTGTTTGTGATATTAGCTTTTCTTTCCGGTCCATTCTTCTATTTTAAATATCTCATATAATCTTATAATAACACAGTTTCTATTATAATGAACAATGAAGTAAAATAAAAGCTACATACTCATTTGTGTATAACATTGATATTTTATTCTTAATTTCACTACTACTCAAACACAAACTTTCCTATCATATCCCTCTGTTATCTTATATTTCATAAGAGTATAACTTGCAAAGGGAAATAATTTGAGACGTTTAACTTCCTAAGATTTACTCAAGAGAAAAGTAGTTACTATCTCTTATGAAATATTGTATAACAGAAAGATAAGCAAAACAGTAAGTTCTATTTTTATTGATAGATTCTTAGCCTGTAACATGGTAATCATCAGCATGAATTTTATAATCAAACATAAAAAAAGATCCTTGCAAACACAACAATCAAAAAAGACATTATATGTTATCTTCTATTAGAAAATATAAAATGAGAAGAATCTTGTTCTATGAACCACAATAATCTATAAATTTCATTACTGTCTTTAGCTTTTTTTTTATTCTTCTATTTATAATATGCTCTATGCTTTCAAAGACGCCATCAATTTATGACTGCTAAAATAGATTAATATATAATAATGTTTTAGCTAATAACTTCTAAATGGCATTATATAAGAATATCTTCGATAGCAATGAAGGGAAGTATCAAAATAATGTAATGCTCTGTATTTCTTGTTCTTTTTTCCTGTCTATTAGCTACTGCGATTCATTGATGCTTGAAAATTTTCGATGATGTTTAAGAAGAGAGAATCTATACATTTTTGTTTCTCCTTATTTTATTAGGCGTACAGAATATGGCGCGATGATCAATTAGTCTTTTACTTCGATGCGCTCAGGCTGATGATCTTTTCTTCATTTAAAATGCATCTATTTTTTATTGCAGTTTTATCATAAATGTAGAACAAGATAATATATAGTTATTCACCATTTCATCTAAATAAATCTTTGCATATCTCCTTTTCTTTAGCGTCTTTTATCGCCCGTTTAAAATGATGATAACGAGAGAAAAAAATTGATCAGAAAACCTCACTTTCATTTTTCGTATTTAAGAGAATTTAAACATTAATAATAGCAACTTAGATATGGCCGATATTATGTTACTTGTTCTTGCTTTTTTTATTCCACCACTAGCTGTTTATTTACATCAAAATGCATGCAATAATCAAGTTTTAATTAATTTACTTTTAACTATTATCGGATTTTATATTATCGGTATTATCCATGCTTTTTGGGTTATAACTAAGTAAATATTATATTAATCAACAATATCCTGGCATTTTTTTTTCAAATCTTTCGGAACAAATTACTACTTCATGGTCCTGTTAAAATAAATTTTTTAATTTTAATTTTATCATAAATATTATAATATGATGGAAAAATATCATGAACGTTTGATATGTGTTATTGTTATGATATGTCTAATTATTTTCGCTTCATTAGTTATATTCGTTCTCGTTTCTTTTCTTTAAAAGAAGTTATTCGATTTTATATTAACAATTTATCTACAATATTATTCGCTACATTAATTATTTTTATTAGTGAGAACCAACTATATCTTTCCTAAAAAGAATATATCCCATCTATTCGAATTAAATTTCGTTTTTATATCGATTGAACGTTACATTATCGGTTATTCAAATAAAACAATGAGCAAATTTTTAATCGAATTATCCTGAACTTATAATCGTCGTTTTCACGAATTTCGAAACACTTAAAAACCATATTCTTGAAGTTCTCTGAACTATCGCATTTTAAAACAGACTTCAAACAACTTTGCTAAGATAGTCCAATATATACATGTAAAATAATTCTTTTCGCATGTTATTGTAATCATTAAAAAATGTAATAAATTTTATTTTATGATGCATTTTTCGTTATTGTCTAATGGAAATATTTGATTTAAAATTATTAAAAAGAGAAATCATGGATGGTTTAATCAGATAAAGTGTGAGTATTTTAGTAATGTCTCTAGATGCAATATTTGCTCTTATTCGTACATAAAAAATATAAATGATACCAATAGCTTAGCACTCTGAATTACTATGAACTTTATCACGTTTCAATACATGTATTCTCTTAATTGTTTTATTTACAAAATTCATAACTTTATTTGATGTACTAGATTAAACATAACATTTTGTCAGAAGAGTACTTTCATGTAATGACACTGCACAGTAGACGCAAAAAGTTCTATACATGAAAAAGTGATAAAAATAATACATGTGTAGACTAAATACTTTGTAACACAAATTCTATTTTATTTTCTAATACTAAGTCATAATTTATTTTAGTAATAGGTTCAAACCATTCAAAAATACTGATTATCACATATTTTTCGTCCGTAAATATCGCTAACTGTAAGCTCAACATAAATATAATCTCACGATAAAATACAAATATACTTTATACAATGCACACATAGAAGATATTGAAAATTAAAAAAACATACACTGATGTGCGATTATATTAATAATTTGATAATAAAAAATTAGTTCGAATTCTACTGTCATATATAGTGAAGAGAATGGCTGTTCATAAATAAATTACATTCTCTTTATTGCTTTTACTTAAGCAGAAGAAGTTGGTTAGATATAAAATGAAAATTGTATGACAATATCATTATATGCCAATGAGTTACTCTTCAATTTGAGAAATTTGAATAATTTTATATATTTAAGTTCTTTATGCAAATGTTTCATAAGATAATATGTAATCGTTTTCATAAATAAATTTTAGTCCAATATAAGCTACTTCTAAAAGGTAACACAAACATATTGATTATTAAAAAAAATGAACTCTGACTCAACATAAAATTTCAAAATGTACACAATCTACTTGTTTTCTGTATTCTATTGATTTCCTCATCATAGATAAAAAAAGTATTAGAATCCAATCTTTTATTCCCAAAGTTGTATGATATTGATATGCCCTCACTAAATTTTTCTCATCTATATACAGATAATTGTTAATACTCTTTGAAAGACAAACAATCATTTGTGAAACTGACAAGTAAAAACAAATATATGAATGTCTATCACAGAAGATTCTAACATAATTAAGAATATGTAAAGCTTTACAAAAGTTTATACCTGATCGTTATCCAGTGGCAAATAGGTGAGAATAGTCAATTGGATGATTGCATTATAGTTAACTTATGTATTTCAAACATTTGATTAGTACGGAGATAAATAATACGTAAAGGAAGATTTTTTGTAAATTTTATTTATTTTAAAGATATTTTAATACTGGATTTTTATTGATTTAACTTAATGTATCTATTCTATTGATCTTTCATATTTTCGATAACAGTATATTAGCCATAGAACACACATACACGTCGTCTTTAACTTATGAAAATAAAAAGAAGATAAAAAGAAGATAAAAAAGAACAATCGACAACACGTTTAATAATTAAATTTTTATTTTTCCTCACTGTTCCAACAGAAAACCTTTATTAAAAATTTTATTACTGTTCTAGTATTTTTGTCATATTATTCAGTAATCATTTGTCTCGTGATAAAAATAATGATAATTTCCATCATTCTGTAATAATGACTGAAAAAAAGTTATCTTTAGAGATTTTCTGTAAGAACAAATATTTTAAGAACTATATTTGTTACAGATTATTTTTTTGAACTATCAACAATGACCATACTTCAACGTCCTTTTCGTTTGTCGGCAACTGATAAATATCTCTGATGATACCTATAACACTTTGTGACGTATATTTAACAAACATAAAAAAAACCAAGTGAAATACTGATAACAGAAAAAACAATGTAAATGATGATGAAACGAACAATCTCGAAAGAAAATTCTTATACTATAAAATGACACGTTATATTCTTATTCACTTGTAAATATTTCTTCAAGAAATAGTCTACATTACAAAAAACAATGGCGAATAACAAATCAATAACATCTGTTCAAACCAATGCACAGGCTAATGCTAAACAAGTATCAAGCTTTTCCAGGGACGCAGTTGCAAATCGACGTATGAACATGCAAAGAATGCAAAATGTCCTCCTCATTTGGTTGGATAATAATATTAATAAAAATGATGCTGATTGTACTAATACAATCAAGCAATTAAAACTTGTTGTTAACAACATAAACACGTTTACAGATAGTGAAGAATGTGTTGAATTTATTCAAACCACTAACAACAACAAAATATGTATGATTATTTCTGGTTCACTGGGAAAACATATTGTGCCCCATGTGCATGATATGCCCCAAGTAGATACCATTTTTATATTTTGTAGCAACCGAGAATGGCATGAACAATGGACTAAAGAATGGCCTAAAATAAAAGGAGTCTTCACAGATATAACATCAATCTGTGGAGCTCTCAAGCAAGCTGCTCATCAGTGTGAGCAGAATGCCACGTCAATCAGCTTTGTGGCATCAAACAAGAAACTGGATCAATTAGATCCATCATTCATGTATACTCAGATCTTGAAAGAGATCTTATTAACCATCAACTTCGAAGACAAACATATTCAAGAATTCATTACTTATTGTCGTGAAGTATATGATGATGATGAAAATGAATTAAAAAAGGTTAATCAATTACAAACAACATACAAAAACAACATACCCATATGGTGGTATACATGGAATGCATTTTTATATCGTATGCTCAATCAAGCATTAAGATTAATGGATGTTGATATGATTATTCGAATGGGTTTCTTTATTAATGATCTACATCGAGATATTCAACGACTTCATTCGAAACAATTTGATGGTCATCAAGTAGGCACAGCATTTACAGTTTATCGTGGACAAGGTCTTTCAAAAGAAGATTTCACCGAAATGACAAAAACAAAAGGTGGACTTCTTTCATTTAATAATTTCTTATCAACTAGTAAAAACCGTGATGTTTCTCTTAATTTCGCCCAACACGCTGCTACAAATCCTGATCTTGTTGGAATTCTATTTGTTATATCAATTAATCCTACTGATTCAACAACTCCATTTGCTTCTGTTAGTGATGTTAGTTATTTTCATACAGAAGACGAAGTCCTTTTCTCTATGCATACTATTTTCCGTATTGGAGATATTAAACCAATAGATGGAAATAATCATCTTTATCAAGTGAACCTAACATTGACCAATGACAACGACCAAGATCTTCGAGCTCTTACTGATAGTATCCGACAAGAGACCTTTCCAGATCAAGAAGAATGGGGACGATTAGGATCATTGCTAATTAAAATGGGTCAGTTTAACAAGGCTCAAGAAGTTTATGAAGTTTTACTTCATCAAACAACGGATGAAAGTGTTAAAGCACCTATTTATGGTCAACTAGGTTCGATCAAAGCTAATCAAGGAGAATATCAAGAAGCACTTACATATTTTGAAAAAACACTTGCTATCTATCAAAAAATACTTCCTTCCAATCATCTTAGTTTGGCTTCTACCTACATATGCATCGGTGTAGTTTATATGCACATGAGTGATTATCCTAAAGCCCTTTCTTATTATGAAAAAACCCTTGCAATTCAACAACAATCACTCCCTTCCAATCATCCTGATTTGGGTATGTCCTATAACAACATCGGTAATGTGTATGTCAAAATGGCTGATTATTCAAAAGCACTTTCTTATTATGAGAAAGATCTTGCAATTCAACAACAATCACTTCCTTCCAATCATCCTGATTTGGGTGTTTCCTACAGCAACATCGGTAGTGTGTATTTGAACATGGGTGATTATCCAAAAGCACTTTCTTATTATGAGAAAGATCTTGCAATTCTACAGCAATCACTTCCTTCCACTCACCCTGATTTGGGTATGTCCTATAACAACATCGGTGTGGCGTATGAGAATATGGCCAACTATTCAAAAGCTCATTCATTTTATGAACGTGCTGTACAGATTGGGCAACAATCATTACCAGCAAATCATCCTAGACTTCTAAAATGGAGAAAAAACCTTGAACATATGAAAAAGAAATTATAATTTCTTTCTGTATCCTTTTTTGAAACTAAAATAAAACTCATAAGAAAGAAAATGTGTATCTATTGAAACTCTGTTCTTGTTGAGAACACAACATGAGCAGTAACACACACCGGTAAGGTAAACAATACATATCAAAAGTTATTAATTATAGAAAAAGACCTTCACGGTTACATTATTATGTCTGAACAAGTAGAGTTTCGTTGTGTTAGATAAGAAAGAAAGATACTCAACAGAAACATAGAAGAATAGAAGGAGAGAAAAAGTTTATTTTATCAATAGAATGAATTATTCTTTCTGTTCGAATATTAAAGAATAGCTCATATCATTGATAAACTCATCCATATTAACCCTTCTAATACCATGCATGAACATTTTTGTCCATAGATATAAATCACAAAAAATTCGACTCTAGTCAACTTTATCATTCATATATTTAATTAATCTGATATATTAGGACTCTCGCCACGCATTTCACACACAATACTCACTCAAATACGCATTTTAAACACGTATATTCCGCATTTGTAGCATTTTGTGCTAATTCTACGAGTTCTTTGTTTACTTGTATAATTCAAAGCTTTAGCATAATAATATATATGTCGATGATGTCTACAACATATATACGGTATAATAGATGAGAAGACAGAAAAAATAACATATATAGGTGAATCATACTGTCACATGAGCTTTTTTCATGTACAAGAAAACGTTGACTTCTTCACGAAAAAATGAAAATTTGATAAAAAGGAGATATCCAGCAGGTGACAGAGCTTTAAAAATTTATATTCTAAAAAGTTGATACCGATTAGTTCAGTTTTTCACCGAAAATTAAATATTTTACACACATATGGACGAAAATGTCCATGCAAAATATTCTTCACTTTAATCATTCATATACAGATATTCTTTTAACAATAAATATATTGTTATTATAGAATCAATGTAATTTTATCGTATAAAGTTATGTTGAAAGAAATTCAGTAGTTGTCCTAATACGGAATGTTCACATATTATATTTCACTGAGCTAACTATCAAATTTCTGTTCTATAAAATTAGTAGAAGATTCTTAAGTATATATTCCGCTCGATAATAGACATCAGTGCATGAAAATGACTTTCTACTTATAAAATAAACAATTTCAGACATGATCTGAACCGAATGTATCTATTATCAGATACATTCTCATCAAATTCTCAATAGAAAAGAAATTATTCATTTAGATATTTAATCAACTGAATTATATCCCTTAGAATATTGTAAGGTATTATCAACAATTTTTTTCCCAATCTTTTATATTTATATAGAGTATCAATAATAATTTATATTCTATAATTTTTCAACAGAAAATACTTGTAAAAAAGATGCAAATCAATATGCTTTTTGTGGTTATGATAATCTCGATATACATACAGCAAAACCTATGAAAGTCTCGTTCTATTCAATACATTAATCTCCAATAATTCTATCTTTCATCCAGGGAATCTGTTGTGAATATTGTATGAATGGATGATCTATGGTAGAAAATCTTTTTTGTTTTTGTTTTCTCCTCAGACAGTGTTTAATCCAGCGGGTGGGCGACGTCTATCCAAAAAAATACAATAGCTGTATATTTTGAGACGGTCCAGGCGGGCGCTAAATGAACACAGCTCACCCTAGGTTTCGATTCGCTCATTCAACAAACGAAACCTAGATAAAACACTGTTCTCAAATATTCATTAAATTTGTTTTATTCTTTTAAAGATTCTGATATCGAATGTATGATTATTGATCGATCGGAATTACAACTTAATGAGGATGATATATGTAAAACAATAATTAATCATTCCAAAAGTTTTTTAAAATGTTCCAACAAACAACCATATGATTTTTTCTTATCAGATAAAGTGACAGAGAAAAATATTTATTATTTATTTTATATTTGATACAATATTACATTTAAATTTCTTATAACATATAAACATCAATTTCGTCTTGACATAACATAAAAACAACGTCAATTGACTGCATTTGAGTAAACAATATTACATTTAATTATTTTCATTATGTACAATTATTTAGATGTTTAGTTTCGATTTCGGAAATATCGATTGAATCTTTTTTAAAATATACATTTCAAATAGCATTGATTTTAAATAATATTGCATTATCTATATATTCAATACGCATATATTTGATATAAAAACAATTGAAATATTCAAATCAATTTCATCTTAGTCCAATGTATCAAAAATTAATGTTTTTTAGGATACCAATGAAAAAAATCATACTATCATCGATTAATATGAAAGCAATAGTTAAAAATTTATTTACAAATTCAATATTAGCTGAAAGAGAATTTCAATTGAAATATGGTCATCATTGTATATGTAGCGGAATTGGTCATTGTCAAGTAAAATTTCTATTCTACGCACATAGATGAATTCAAGGGATTTATTAAGATGCTTGATCGAGAGAACAGGATTCCCGAATTCCGCTAATGACGCATGTCCTATTTTAGTGTTTCATGAACTCATATCTTTCAAATCTATCACAATTAAAATGTATTCGTATTTTGAGTAAGTTAAAAAACTAAAAAAATTAAATTATGTTTTTCTAGATTTGTTCAGTTATTTTGAAATTCTTTGCTGATTTTAATCATGAAATTTGGTCTGGAATTACCTACTAAATAAGTTCTTTATACTAATTCTTATTTTCTTTTGATTATATTAATAGTAAATAAGGATATGGGGTAACATCAATCTTTGATATAACTGGTCCTATTTGGTGTTTATTCTGTATATGTATACGTCGTCGAAAACAACGATAGAATTATATATTTCGGTTTATTAAAGCATATTATTATGAACATATTTATTCCAGAGAATAAGCTTACAGAAGAATATATCAGTATTAATAAAATCGAGTTTATTAAATCTTAAGATGAGAAAACATTTGATACGATAGATAGTTTCTACGAATTAATTCAAAAATTTAATATTTGATCTAGATGATTTTTGTTTAAGTTTTTTGCCTAGAATCATTTTGAAAACGTACATTAAATTAGTTTACATCATTGATAAAGATAATCAAATGATATTCACATTTAAGAATATTTTTCATTAAATTATGTTTATGATAATGACGTATAAATAAAAATACGCATGACTAGTATGTTTTTATTAGTTAAATCAATGCCAAGCTTCTTCACTTTGTCTAGTGAAGATTTTTGTTACTTACGATGTCATAAAAAGACTACTACATCGATACATTCCAATATTACCAAATCGTTTATTATAAAAGTAACAGATAAATTGTCTTCGAAACTATATCTTATCAAAGATCATCGTTATATAATAAAAACGAAGATTCTGTGGTATCAATAAATAATATGGTATTTCGGATGATTTACTATACACAAATATTTAACTATTAAGTCATATGGATAAAAGTATTACTATATGGTGTAATTTATACTCAAATATTATGTCTTAAATAAATATCTGATTCACGATAACGTCAAATTAACCTATTTAATTGTATTGAATAAAATACAGGTTGACCTACACTGTACAGTAATCAATAAACGAAAGTATACCAATGTCAATTTACCTCCTACGTTAAGGTGAATACGCTTGACTATTTTTAATAATTAAAAGCTCCGTATTTTGATGTTTTATTGTAAACGTGAATATACCTCTTGAAAACGACGACCATCGATTGATCATGTCATTTTCATTTTTTTTTTATGATTATAATATTGATCA